TTTTAACTTCATGGTTCTAACTGATATCTTTAGACTGTTTGTTACGTAAATTGTGTATATCCGCCTCTGTTTTCTTCTAGCATTTTTTAATGGTCTTATTCTTCATGTTTAAATCTTTAATCTACTTCAACAATATTTAGGGTAAGAAAGAAAGTAAGGCTCTAATTCCTCCCTCCTACCCCTCAAAAAAAATTGTTAGCCAGTGACCCCATCATTATTTGTTGAATTCTGTTTTTCCCAGCTGATAACAGATACTATATTTATCCTAGATCATAATCCTTCTTTATCCTTGGAACTTCTAAATTGTTCATTGATCTCTGACTTCCTTTGCTGATACCATGCTGCTCTTATTACTCTGGCTTTATAATGTATTTTAATGTCTAGGGATTCAAACAATGTCTGGCATATTGTAGACACCACTAAATATTTTTGGAATGAGTGCATTTAGCGGGGTAAGTTGGTTTAACCCTTTCTGTGAAGTTTCTTGCCTAGTCTTGAAATAATATTTTAGCTTGCTTTTCTTATGGTCAGTTGGATCATTAACTGTTGTTAAATCCTTTCACTTGTTAACTCAGAACTCTCCATGTAGAGTTGCTCCTCGGAGTTGTACATGGAGAAGCATGTCTTTTGATTTGCACTGTGCATTATAAGCATTGTGTTTCTCTCCTCATCAGCTCTGACTCAGGACATTATGTACCTAGTTTCAGCAACTCTGAGGGATAAACTTCTATAGAGTGATCCCTGGAACAGCCCATGTCTATATGTATTTTACCGTCCCAACTGGACATCTTCAATATAATAAATTTTCAATGGTTGCTATAATAGATACTTAGAAACTTTACGAGATCATAAAATAAATGTATACGTTTTAAAAAGTCAAAAATATGTACAGAAATAGCTAAAAGAGAAAGTAAATATGTTGTGTGTCCATCAGCCAGTAAATCCATTCCTTAGAGATTATTACCATTCATTTGTTCTCCCAGACATTAGAAATAAATGTATATAAGTCTACATGTTTCATAAGTGGCAGTGTATAATTATAATTCCAGTTAGTAATAATTGATGACAATCTATGTTACTGCATATAACATTCTTTTTAAACTTTTTTGGTATTTCATTGTAGGAATAACCCCCAAATTTTAATATATAACCAATTCCCTATTGATATTTAGCCAATTCCAAATTTATTTCTATTACCAACAAAACTACAGAGATCATTTTTGTATGTACATATGCACATTTGTTTATTTCTTTAGTGTAAATGTTTAGATGTGGGATTGCTGGTTCAAAGGCTATTTTTAAATGTTGATAGATTGTTCCATGTTGCTCTTCAAAAGGGTGTTTTAAGAACAAATTTATGCAATTTATGAGAATGGTGCTGCTGCCATCTCATTGCCAAGAATGGTCAAGGCTGAGATTTTACTCTACATGCAAGTTAACAATCTCATGGATGCTAGAAGATAACATGAGACTCCTGGGTCAGAGACAATGCACAGAAATAAAAGTCGTCAGAGGATCATCATTTTCTTGTGCTGCTTCCTTGAGCCCTAATTAACACTGGGTTCTGTGATGAGGGCCAGATGATTCTAGCACATGCAGTAGATGAGGAGAGGAACCCCGTGCTTAGGGAATCTGAATCTTTCATAATAGGCTGCAAGTAAACCTGCCTAACCTTTGCCCTAGGTCCAAACATTATCTTTATTATGCTGGATAGTGAACAAACCTGCCCTCGCCTCCACAGGGAGACCTTTCTTTATCTATGGAGGATATTTGCTGTAGAAACACCCTTAAAAACATAGTCTGGAACAAAGGCTCTCAGTGCCCCTGCTTATAAAACCGGTGAAGAATTGTCTCAGAATCATTGCTGCTAAGATGATACAATCATTTTTTTTCCATTTTTGTAATTTTATTGATGAAAAATACGATTTTAGTACTGCTTTAATTGTGCATTTTTTTGCTTATTGACAGAGTTGAATATCTGTAAATATTTATTAGCCATTTGTATTACTTACCTGTTTATATTGTTTGCTTAGTTTTCTGTGGAAGTGTCCTTTTACTTATTGATTTGTAATAGATCTTTACGTGTAATGGCTATTAATGACTTGGTATATCATTTACTAGTATTTCTTATAGTATATTCTTTTAATGCTGTTTCTGGGAGCTTTTGCTGCATGGAAATCTTTACTATGTATATTGTCAGTTCCGCTATTTTCTGTATGGCCTCTGAATTTCCCCCGCAAGGTTATTAAAATATTCTTTGTATATATCCTTTTATTGGATATTTTGTATTACATATTTAGATTTGTTTTAAAAAATGGTTGCTATGATAATATTCTAAATTTACTTTTCTAAATGTCTGGGCATTTTTCTAAGACATTTTTGATAAGCCATCACCCTGTTGTTTTGATTTGACATATCCAGTATAACATACTACATCCTTATTATTTTCTCAAAACTGACAAATGAGTAAGCAAAATGTTTGTTTCCTACAGTGAGTATGAATTTGATTAAATCCATCTTATAGATTACTATATGTAGTGGTTTGTTCTTAGTGGATTTTAATCTTACGAAATATAAAATGTCCTTTTTTGCCCTATTTAATGATTTTTGCCTTGGAGTCTACATTGTCTGATATTACTATTGCCATCTGTGTCAGTTTTGTGTATACCAGATAGATCTTTATTGCCCATATGTTGATTTTTAGTCTTTCTGTATTGTTTTGCTTTACTTGTCTCTCTTATACACCAAACATCATACAGCTGGACTTTCATTATCCTTTTAATCTTCACTCCTCCCAATTTGAAAGTATGCCTTTATTTATTTATTTGCATTATTAAAATATCTGTTTTTAAAAAGATGATTATAGATTCACATGCAGTTATAAGAAATGGTACAGAAAGATCCTGTGTAGACTTCATCCAGTTTCCTCCAATGGTAACATCTTGCATAAAACTATAGCATATTATACCTAGGAAATTGATACAGATACAATTGACAGACCATACTCAGATTTCATCAGTTTTATATGCACACATGTGTTTAGTTCTCAGCAATTTTATGTAGATCTTGTGACTCCCAAAGCCAAAATACAGAGCCATTCTATCACAAGGATCCCTTGTGCGAAAGAGTTTATCTTTTAATAGGAGATTTTAACTTATTCATATTTACTTTTTTTTCTCCCCTGCAAGTTTTCAAATCTAGAACTATGTATAATTGACTTTCTGTTACTCTCACATCTCCATTTAATAAGGTGAAACCTTGACTCCTTGGCTTCCCCCATTCTTGGCTCTATTGATTTTATTTCCTTTGTACATTACTTCTGTTTTTCTCTAACCATCCCTTTCAACTTTACCACTACTGTTTCAGTGATAATTTAGATTTAATTATAAGGTCACTGGTTACTTTTTATATTTTATCTTCCCCTTTTAAAATTATTTATTCAATCAGGGAAGTTACTACTTTTTTTTTTTTACCTTCTCTTTGAACAATATGTGCATACTATTACTTATTGGATGGCTTCAAAGAAGGTCATACATTTGATTCTCACCTACTGTGCTTTGTTTTTTATTATTAAACTAGAGGCCCGATGCACAAAATTTGTGCAACAGTAGGCCTTCCTTCCCCCTGCTGCCGGCAGCAGCTCCCTTCTGGTACCCGGGACCCGGGCTTCCCTCGCAGCCCCAGCTTCGTCCAGAAGGACATCCAGTCTAATTGGCATATTACGCTTTTATTATTATAGATGTTTCCCCTTTTTTTCTATATCAAGAACTTTTTTTTGCTTCATTTTTTGGTCTACATGTGCCTTATCTTGAAGAGTCACTGGTTTGATTTCTATGTTTATTTTAACTGTCTTCTGCTATCTACTCTGCCAGTCTTCAAAAAAAACACAAACAACAAAAAAACCACACAGAACAAATGTTTATTGACATGTACTAGGCCCTAAGGGTATAGTTATAATTAAGACACATTCTCTGAACTTGAGGAATTTATTGTCTGCTAGGATAGAAAATTACCTCAGCATATAGGGAATGATACACTACGTGCAAGAGCAAAGAAAAAGTAGGTGATAGATAAGGTCTAAACCTGACTAAAGGATGGATAAGAGGGTGCCAGGCTGAGGAAGAGCAAGGGTGTTCCAGGGGAACCCAGCCTTAGTGGCAAAGCCTAAGTGCAGTCTGGTGGTTGAAGCAAGTGTGGGAGAAGACTGGTGCCAGGCAGGTGGAATGTTGTGGTGTATCATTTTATCAGAAAGAGAGCCTTCCTTTAATGGTACCTTAATACACTTGAGAATGAGGAAGAAGAAGACCCAAGAGGAGACTGGGAAGCAGTTATTTGAGCGATGGAAGGAGATATAAGAGCATGTGGTGCCATAGAAAGCCAGAGATGGGGCAGGCCTGCAAAGAGGGCTGGTTATGAGTGTCAGCTCTGCACAAATTCAATTGTAATCCACTCTTCTTGATCATTTCCTCAGTTTGCCCATGTCTTGATTTCTAGACTCAACCAGAAAAGTCCTTTCCTCAACATAGTGTCTCTTGATCAGTTTCAGCAGTATACAGAAATAACAATTAAGGTTCAGCCTGTTTTCTTGATTTGGTACCACATTATGCACTTTTACCTTTTGGTACTATGCTACAAGGCTGCCTAAATGCTCTTTTTATCTCTCACTTCATTGACATATCTCTGTGGGATATTTTGCAAGTAAGTATTGTGTTACAACTGCCTTCAATATATGACACTACCTTATTGCCTGTTCTTTTTACCTTTTTCTGTGTCTTTTCAATTTAAGTCGAGAATCCTCTTGAGTTTTCAACTTGTTTTCCAGGTTCCTTTATCACACCATGAACCTAGCCTTTGTGTGGCCCTGGCTCAAGTTCATTCCTATTGCCTCCTTTTGCTTATTTCATGAAAAGTCCTTTTCCTTCCTCCCTTTTCCTCTACCAAAGCACAAGCCGTCTTCTCTGCAGTTGCTGCCATCCTGCTTCTCTCCGCCTCATCGACTCCCCATCTCACTTCAAATCTCAGTGGTAAACATATGTTCTCCCTTGTCTGTACCGCTTAATTTCTCTTTCCCACTGTTACTGCTTTCTCTGTAATGGTATTATTTAACTTTGGTAAGCAGTTTATAATATGAAAGACGTAGTTGAAAATAAAGCATTATAATAAAATCATGTCCTATAAAGCAAGTTGTTTCCCAGGGAGTGTGAAGGTCTCAGGATACAGGTTAAATGGCTGTTGTTTTGTATTCCTTGATTATGTGAGTATAAAAGTTCATTGTGTTGCCGAGAAATTCTCACTTCATAACCATTGCAGATAAATGATTGGATTAAACAACTAATAAAATAAAGGTCCCCCTGTTTTTAATTCAGACTTTTTGTTAAATGGAAAATGATATTTTTATATGTTGCAAGAGGCTTTAAAGAAGCATTTTGAATGAACTGAAAAGAAAATGTCTCCCAAAGATACATTTTTATAAGTGTCCTTTTGGAAAAATTTAGTGTACAGACTAATATTTACATATTTGCATTAGGTGGGAAAAATAATTTTGTTTTTAAATCCCATTCTCCTCACAAAATAGAGTTATTGTATCTTGTGCATTGGTTTATTGCCCATTAGGATATTCATTGGTTATCACAAATCACCTCCACTCCTTGGCAAAGGTCCAGACAGTACATGGACAGTTTGGACTTCTGCGTTGGTCGCTGCTGTCCACATGTGTCCCGAGACTATTCCCCCTTTTCAGCTTCATTTCCCAGGGAAAAGTAGATCGAGTTATCCTTTGTCTTCCATATGTTCTTCACCACCAAAACACTTTTATATGTCATCTTAGTTGATAGAAAGGAGTTTAGAATCAGTGAAGGATGTTAATAACAATGGGTTTGCACATTTTTTTCTATGCCTTGTTTATTTTTAAAAACAGATTTTTAATTTTATTAAAATTTTTGAATAGTGTTGCTGTTTGCTTTTTCATTTTTTTGGTTATTTTTAGCTTTATCTCACAAAAAGTTAACTCTAATGATTATTTATTGTTGGAAAAAATAAAGCATCCATTTACATTTCTCTTGTACACTGAAGATATTTGAACATGTAATACATATATTTATAGTTTGTAACTCACCTTTATATATGTTGCCTCAATGTAAAATTTTATTTAACAGCCTAAAAATGACATTGCATATATGACACTTGCTGCTTTTGCTAGTATCCCATCTCTATAGTGGTCAAAGCTAGCTGGGAAACAGTTATAAAGTTTGTGGTTTGTATGTCAAATAGAATTTGACTTTCACAATTTGTCTCAATCTTTTCATCAAGAATATGAACATTCACATGAATGATATGTAATTTGCAAATGTTTCTTTGGTTTTATAGAACTTTTACTTTCTGATAAATGCCATTTTATAAAGAGAGTGAAAAGAGCTTGGGTGAGCAATTTATAGGCTGTGGAGTAAGCAGTGTTGTCCAAAGATTATACAGTCAAATGCATCCATCCACCTTGGCAGATGGTATTTCCTTCTCTTGAAGATTTCTAGGAATAAAGCATCCAGTCTCCCAAATTAGCTGACCAGTCAATTGAGTTGGATACTTATACATTGTTGTTTATTTCCTAAATTACATTTTTATAATTTAAATTTATTTCATTTTTTTAAATGCTCTAGAAATTTATGTACACTTCTAGAATATTTTTCATATTCTAGTCTTTTTTTTAATATATTTTATTGATTTTTTACAGAGAGAAAGGGAGAGGGATAGAGAGTTAGAAACATCGATGAGAGAGGAACATCGATCAGCTGCCTCCTGCACACCCCCTACTGGGGATGTGCCCGCAACCAAAGTACATGCCCTTGACTGGAATCGAACCTGGGACCCTTCAGTCCGCAGGCCAACGCTCTATCCACTGAGATAAACCGGTTAGGGCACTTTTTTTTTCTTTTAAGAAAGAGAGTTACTGCCCTCACTGGTTTGGCTCAGTGGATAGAGTGTTGGCCTGCGGACCGAAGGGTCCCAGGTTCGATTCCAGTCAAGGGCATGTACCTTGGTTGGGGGCACATCCCCAGTAGGAGGTGTGCAGGAGGCAGCTGATCGATGTTCCTCTCTCATCGATGTTTCTAACTCTCTATCCCTCTCCCTTTCTCTCTGTAAAAAATCAATAAAATATATTTTTTTTAAAAAAAAGAGAGTTACTAAGTAACTTCTTTGGAAAATTATTCCTCTTAATTTACCTGGGGGCTTATTTTGAAATAAAATATATATGGTAAAAGAAAGAGCTGTATCATTTCACATTTTGGTGTAAAAGATTTGATATTTGTGCAGTTGTAAAAATTTTTTTTTACTTGACAGATTTATACTTGTGGTAGGTGAGATGTTTGCATAAGCAAGTGATCTACTACGTAATTATTTTTTCCCACATTTATAACATGACCTGTTCTTCAGCACTGTAAATCTTTAGAAAGGGTTTAACCTCTGTCCTGTGTTGTGGAAGCATCCCTGCAAAGATGGTTCCCATCTGCCCCTAACAGGCCCTAAAGCATTACCGGGTCAGGACTACTTCTTTTTAAAGTTTTTGACTTGGGGATGGAGTATGGATTCTAAACCACGAAGGAAGTATGAACTTAGGTTCACACTGTGTGCATAGTACATGTCTAATAAGGGTCTGATTTTACTCTGGTGACTCTCCTCCATTTCCTAGGTTGATATCACATCTTGGGCTTCCTGGCCAGTGAGCTAAGTTTTCCTATTCCTGGTTTCATGGATAGGGTGATCTTTGCTGAGTTTTGGCTTTCCAAATGGCACCTGTGGCTTGAAATGCCATTTTTGTGTGAGTGTCAGAAAGTCTCCTTATAACCACTAAGGCCTTGTAACTGATGCCATGAGTCATATTAGCTTCAGCTCCTGCTTTCTGTCTTTGACTTTCTCTGTTTCTCACAACTGTGGATTTTCCTCACTTGTTTCAAGCTCAGCTATTTATTTACTATTTTACTTGTTACATTTTGTCAAGCATTTCACTGGGTTTGGGTCTAGCTGGGATTGAGAAATAGAAGGATGCTGTTAGGTAATTTTAAATTATTTTAGACATAAATTCTTTGTGTGCTTATTACCTTTTCTGTCAACAAGTCAGATACTTTGTTTTTACTATGTGCTGAGTACTTTGAGAACTGAAGATCTTTGGCTAGATTCCCTCCTTCAAGAAATTTAGTTCTATGTAGACCCTTGTGGAACTGGGTTATATATCTGATACAAAGATGGTACCAGCAGATAGCAGAAAATAAGCCTACTTATGTGTTTTATAAATTGTAATGTTTTATAATCTTAGCACTAAAGTTTTCAAAGGCTAGCACATTGTTCTACTAAAGAGACGTTAGTACATTCCTCTTCTTTTACTTAGAAGAAGTTAAGCTCCAGACTTTACAGGTACAAAAATCATGTTTGATTTCCTTGTTGGTGTAGATGAGAGGTTAACTACTCAATGTGAATGGGGTCAGGCCTGGGCTGTGAGCTGGTAGAGCTGGCCAGGAATAATGGCAGATACGCAGAGAGCTCAGACCTCTTCTAAATGGGGTCCTCTTGATTGTTAAAAATTACAAACTAGTCAAATTTTAAAAAACACTATCTGATCCCAATAAAATATCTTTTGGCATAGTTTGACTCATAAGCTCTGGGTTTACAATCTCTATTTAGAAAGGATTCATTATTATATTTTATATATTCTTTCATAAAATTAACAAGATATATTAGTTATTCATAATAGTCCACAAATTCAGAAAAGTGTGACCTATTCAGTTTGAAAGTTCTGTCTAACAAGTAGCTGTTTATCAATGATAAATCTTTTGGGATAGTTGACTTCCTAAGTTGAAAATTAAAATATTTTTAAAAATTCTTATCTTACAGGTAAAAGAATGTCACATGTCAACATTTGTACCTGAAGTCAACATGCCATTTTCAGGCTGCATGGATGAGTGCCAACTTTTGCATATCCTGTGACCTTTCTATCTGGGGGTGAGTGATTTTTAAGAGTGGCTGGCAACAAACCAGATGCCAGCCAGCCGTAGATCACCCTAACAAATAATGCTAAGAGTTATAAATTAACTCTGCACTGTCTGGTGATCTGTGATGTGTAAGGCAGTTAATTTAGTTGGTCTGGATTAACTGTCAGCTCCAGAAAACTATATTCCCATAATGTGAGATCTGTTCTCCGCATGTTTTGGCATGAATAATAATTAACAATAGGGAATCACTTGTTAAAAAGTGAAATTAAAAATGTCTAAGATTTTTTGGATTTACAGCAGTATTTTAGTGGTTTACCATATACTTTAAATAATTTTAATTTTTAAAGTTTAAACTCAGTATTTCTTGAAGGATAGTTATAATTTTGTATAAAATGGGAGTTTTGAGATGATACATCTTCCATTGTTTTATAATATTAGTTTTACTTCTCATGTAGCATAAAATTGTATCCATTTCAATATTTAGATTTCTTAAAAATACATCAGATAGATTATACTAGAGATTCACATTTACAGTGAATTTTTTTTTCCGTTTCATTCTGGGAAATTACATTGGGTAAAAAGCCTGCTTATTACCTCATTTTTATGCATTTTTCTGCTTATTTAAATTATTTTATCAAGCCATTCGATTTTTTTAGAATATCCTTCAGAGAGTTTATGCATCTTATGGAAGACACCTGACCTTTTGAAGCTTCATAATTCACATCTGCATGTCACCAGTCTTCCCCATGTTAACAGTTCTGACCATGTTTTATTATCTATGCCTGCGGCGCCGAGCCAGGACAGCTGCGAGGGGAGAAATGATGAACAGCCATAGAGCCATAGAATCAAACATCCGGACTTCCCCTCTGAATGCAGAGGTGGTCCAGTATGCCAAAGAAGTGGTGGATTTCAGTTCCCATTATGGAAGTGAGAATAGTATGTCCTATACCATGTGGAATTTGGCAGGTGTCCCAAATGTATTCCCAAGTTCTGGTGACTTCACTCAGACAGCTGTGTTTCGAACTTATGGAACATGGTGGGATCAGTGTCCCAGTGCTTCCTTGCCATTCAAGAGGACGCCGCCTAATTTTCAGAGCCAAGACTATGTGGAACTTACCTTTGAACAACAGGTGTATCCTACAGCTGTTCATGTTCTGGAAACCTATCATCCTGGAGCGGTCATTAGAATCCTAGCTTGCTCTGCAAATCCCTATTCCCCAAGTCCACCGGCTGAAGTAAGGTAAGACTCATTTTGTAGTGATCATGTCATATGGCTGAAAGGTGTTGGTTGTTTTAATGTTGCAGGGCTTGTTTTATTGGAAGCATTCTCTTACGTAATTTAAACAGATTTGATTTTTAAAATGTTCCTTAGTTTTATGATGGGAAAAGAAAAATCACATATATGAAGATTTAATACATTCTTCATACCCTTAACACCTCACATCATAATATTCAGAGATTGTGAAATTTGTGTGTCACAGAATTTACTATTTACATAATTAATTTGCATAGCAGTGCCTCTTTATTTCTCTTTCTCTTGTTTTTGTAGTTCAGCCTGCTGGTTTTTAAACATATAATTATTTGACTAGTATATTCATGTTTCATTAACCTAAAAAGTGCATAATTTAAAAAAGTACCCTGTTCTCCATGAGCCTAGAACTCATCTCTCCCTCCCTGAAAAAATACAAAAAATGCCACTTTTATCCACTTCCTTGGCATTTTTCCAGTTTATTTATATAAATATAAGCAAATACAAATATAGTCGTATTTTCTTTATACACAAAAATAAGCACACTGTTCATATTGTTTTGTACCTTATTTCATTTAGTCGTACATATTGGATCTTTTCATAGAAGTGCAAAGAGTGCTTACTCATTCTTTTCTACAGTTGCAAGTAATGCACAATGTATGTGTACCCCACCTTGTTAACCACTCCCCTATTGATGAGTACTCAGTTGTTTCCATACTTTTGCTGTTATAAACTTTAAGACAGTATATAACCTTGTCATGAGTCATTTCACATGTGGGATAAATTCTCAGGATTGCTGGGCCAAGTTTCTCTGCATTTGTAATTTTAATATATAGTGTCAACTCTACCTCCAAAGAGGCTCTACCTATTTATATTTCCAATAGCAATGTATGTGCATACATGTTTTGCCAAAGCCCCTCCTACAGAGTGTGTTAATACATTTTAATATTTTTGTCAATTTGGTAAGTAAAAAATGTTGTCTCATGTTAATTTTAAGTTAAAATTATTATCTGAGATTGAATATTTTCTCATGTTTAAGAACTGTTGATATTTCCTTTTCCTTGAGCTATCCGATTATATTATTTGCCCATTTTTCTATTACTTGTTGATATTATCACTTTTTAGATCTTTATATCACTTTATTAATTAAATATTTGTGTGTCTACTATGTATTTAGCATTATGCTAGTTATTAGGGGTACAACAGAGAACAAAATAGATAAAATCCCTGCCCTTGAGTTTATTCTAGCCCCAGAGCAGTTTGTTGGCACCTGTTAAATTGTAGGATCCCAGGTGCCAGTGGAGGAGTAAAGGGGGCAGGGATCAGCTGCCACCTGACATACTGCTTCTTTGACTTCCCTGTTCCCTCAACTCTGAGGAACAACTCCCAGCCACCCAGGAAACAAATGTAGAGCACAGCTCAACTCAAGCTGGAGACTGCTGGTATGATCTTATTGTTCTTTTAGAACTGCCTTGATAATTTATTGTGAACAATATTATTAATGAACCAAATTATTTTTTAAAAATCTTTGTTATTGAAAGTATTACATATGTCCCCCTTTTTTCCCCATTGACCCCTTCTAGCTTGCCCCCACCCCCCACCCTAGACCTTCACCACACTATTGTCTGTGTCCATGGGTTATGCATATAAGCATACAAGTCCTTTGGTTGGTCTCTTCCCACCTACCCACCCACCCCTGCCTTCCCTCTGAGATTCGACAGTCTGAATCAAATTATTTTAAACACAAAAAACCAGCATCTTTTAATATACAGATTTTTTTTTCTGAGGAGAAATAAAAGTACTTTGGGCAGAATCCTTTTTTATATAAGAATTGCTTTTTTTGAACTCTGTCATTCTTTGCCTCTTTCCTACAAAGTTATCCACCTTTTTCTTAAAATGCTGACCAAATTTAGAGAGAAAAGTCTATGAAACATGTAATGTCTTTCCTCTAATCTAACACTTTATGTCTGCATAGTTGATTGTGAGTATAAGCTATACTCTTGGTTTCTAGCTGAGAGCTCTAATGTGTGATAGTGACTAAAGTGACAGCTTTATTTACAGTGAAATCTAATGTACTTAACTCATTTTTAGCTTTATTCTACAGAAAATACCATTACATTTTAGGAGAGAAAGAATCTAACCAACATTTACTATTGCACAATAGAAAGGGGTCTTTTTAATTTTCCTGATTATGAAATCAGTAGATGTTTCATTGTTTAAAAAGCTTGTTATGAAATACAAAAAAAAGAAAAGAAAATATACAGGGGGGAAAAACCAGTTCACAATCTTCTGCCTGGATTCAGTAGCTGTTCTCATTTTGGTGAATTTCTTTGGATAGTCAGAAACATGGCTTGCTCTGCCAGTTCAGTCTGAGAACAAAACAGAGCCAGACAAATATGACTTGTGTTCTTTTGAGTTTACAGGCCAGCATGGAAGAGGACCCTGAGATTATAGGGAACATGTGTTGGTGGAAGGAAGAGCCTCATTCATTGGGCTCAGGGAAGTTTTCACCGCGGCAGTGACTTTGAGACTGAGGGTTGAGGAGGCTTAAGTTTGGATAGGAAAGGTGGAGAGAGAAGAGCACATGCAAAGGTGAAACCATGAGCTGAGATCTTGGTGTTTGAAGAAGTGAAAGTCCCAGAGTGTAGGAGATGAACTGTTGAAGGGTCACAAGCATGGAAGTGCCATTCTTAAGCTCTAGAGTAGTGACTTCCAGACTTTGGGATGTCATAGAGCCCTTGGGTCCAGTTTCCCAGAAGCAGACCTTGAGAAGACTATTCCTATGTAAGTGATTTGTTATGGAAATCCTCTTGGAGAGACCAGTATGGGAGTGGGGAAAGCGCTTTGGGGAAGGGAAGAAGTCAGGCAAGGATGCAATTTCATGTGTGCAGTCCTAGTCGGCCTGGAGGCAAAGTTGCTAGAGAGATGGGCTCTCACACTGCTGCACCTGTCTGTCGTCAGTTATAGGCTATGGGAATGGAAATCTTTCAGGCACATACCACACCTGGCTGAAGAGCCTCCCCCAGTCAGTTCTCTGAAGGCTGGAGGTGGAAGCCCTTAATTGAAGCAAGCAGAGTACAGGTAGGGAAAGTCAGCTACGATAGTGAACCTAATAGTAATGATAATAAAAATTAGAGAACTGATACAGGGTTGTCAGATTATTTACTTAGCTAAATAAACACATATTAAAAAGGCAAACAAATGAAATATCAACATCATTTATTATCACCATCATCTCATAGTAAAAATCTCAGTTTATACTGAGAAATTATCAAAATCTCGAAAAAAGAACAGTTGGTAATTTTACACGTATG